CCTTTGCGGGGCTTGCCGGGGGCCTGCTGTCCGCTCCCCGCCTCAGCCCCAGTATCGGGTTTTGACCGGTTTATGGGACTCTTCGCTGAGGTTTTCGACCTGCTTGAAACCTCTGGCTCTGCGGAGGGTTTCCAGCCCTCCGGTTAATGAACGGTGTGTAGCAGGAACTCCTCAATATAAACGTGAAAGAGCTTGTCTGGCCTAGCTTTGGTCAGCTGTGTGCCCAGCAGCCTGCGTTCTGGAGGGCTGCCCTGCAGAGGGGAGCTGCTGGTTAGCATGACAGCCGTTTTTCTTTTAGGCAGCTTTATTGACTTTGACAAGGAACCGAGGTGCTGCCACCTATGCCCAGACACTCCATAATATCCCTGAGACCCAAGTCACCACTCTGGACAATGGTCTCCGTGTAGCTTCAGAGGAGTCCAATCAGCCAACATGTACGGTAAGGTTAAGATAGATTGAGGGCATACTTGAAGCAGTCAGCCTTGCCTTTGGAAAACCAGTCTGCAGCTGGTCTTCCAAAAGTGACAAACCCCTATTTGAACCGAATCTTTTGACAGAGACCGTGCTACTTCTTTTTGTTAACTGGTGGGATTAATGTAGCAGTAGAAGGCCTAGCCTGGCTTTGTATAAGTCTGTAGTCGAGCTTTTGCACTCGAGTTTTCTCAGCCTTACAGTTTGTGTGTAAGCATTAAGTGGCCAGTAGTAGTTATATCTCTGGCAAAACTAGCAAATGCTTTTGCAAAGCTGCTAGACAAAAAGTCAAAATGTGTACGGGAAACAGTTGCTGATGCTTGTTCTTATTTTGGTGCTACTAGTGCAGTGTCTGTGGAGGAGACTTCTTGTCCCTGCTGTTACATTTGTGGCATGAGGCTTGAGCATGCTGTTTGTTTTCTTTTCTAATATGTGTACTTGATGCTTTTGCTGTTAGGTGGGTGTGTGGATTGGGGTAGGGAGCCGCCATGAAAACGAGAAGAACAACGGGGCTGGTTACTTCCTGGAACATCTGGCCTTTAAGGTAAGGAGGTATGCTAGGTCTGGCACAGGACTGCGTGGAGAGCTGTTCTAAATATTTACTTATATATTGTGCTTCCGCTTCGGAGACTGTAGCTGATAAAAGAGAGTGCAAAGTGGGTCATCTGCGTCCCAGAGACTTTGCACGTAGTATAAAAATAAACTTCAAAAGGCACCTAGACTTTATGGTGTTCTTTGTTTGAATATACGGCAGCTTGCAAGCATGCATGAATTAAGGCAACTCTTATTTACTAGTTGGTATTTTCCTTCTTAAAGGAAAAAAGTTTTAAGTTACAAGTGAGACTGAGTCTCTGATGCTGTGGTTCCAATCCCTGACCGTTGCAGCCACTGTATAGTGCACATATAGGACTATGTTATGAAGCATGTTTCTTCAGGTTAGCAGGCAGAGCTCAAAGCAGCGTTTCCTGTAGCCATTTATTTTTCTTTAGTTTTCTTAGTGGACTGGCAAAGTTTAGAGGCTACAGCTCTTACTTTTCTAATAGTGTAAGTGTCTGCTGAACAGCCCTAAGGCAGAAGGCATCTAAGCCTGGAGCTTGCTGACTCGAGTCCAGCCTGTGCCATCATAGGCAACTGCAGCATCTGGCTTGTTCCTTAAGAGATGAGCTCTGTATTAGAAGTGGTTTTCTGCTCCTATTCTGGCGGCTTCTGAATATTGCTGCTTGGCTAGCTAGAAACCTGCTTACTTTTGGTTTAGACTTGTTCTTGGTTCACTTCCACTGATGTGATCTTCAGCTGCTGTTGTCTCTTAGTGTAGGTCTTCTCCTTCCCTGCTGGGTTTTTACTGGTCTTTCCAAATATGCTTCGACCATCCTTTAGCTGGAATAAATAAGCCAAGTTTTAAATCTCTTGTTTTCTGCACTTGCTCTTGGCTTTTATGAATTACGTGACAGGTTTTATTGTTTTAGGTCCTTATTGCTCTTTTCCTTGCTTTAGTTCTGCCCGAGAGGGAAATCTGTTCATTTCATAATTGTGTTTATCTGTTTTCTTTAGGGCACAAAGAAGCGTCCTTGCGCTGCCTTTGAGAAGGAGGTGGAGAGTATGGGTGCTCACCTGAATGGGTACACCTCACGGGAGCAGACTGCCTATTACATAAAAGCCTTGTCCAAGGACATGCCCAAAGGTAGGATGGCCAGCAGGCAAAGTCTGATTCGGAGGTTAAGGATGAAGCAAGTGCATGTGCTTGTGTTTCTCCCACCAGCATCCTTTCTAACAACAGACATGGGAATGAAGTTATGTCTGAGCAGTAAATTGGAGGTTCTAGTTGGTAGTTGAAGAGAGCACTGCCATGACATGGTGCTTCAAGGCTGCAAGTTCATGTGTTCCTAAAACTGGTTTTGCAAAACTCTTGTTATGTCAGGCTGCACTATATTGCCAGGGGGGAGAGGGGGGTTTCAGTAGTCTGTGTTTGTCTTACGGAGCTGAGAAACTGAGGTCAGCGACAGCTATTGTGTCAGGAGTGCTCAGTGTAGCTCTTGCGGGTGTTGCTTGTGTTCTGTACTACCATGTGCAGGCTCTTTGGCTCTGTTCTGTCCAGAGGTGATGATTTGAGTCAGAGCTATGGGCCCTGCTGTAGATGTGGGCTACACTGTAGATGTCGCAAGCTCTCTGTAAGGATTCAGTGTGTTTCTGCAACAGTACCCTGCTTCTGACATGCTTCACCCTCTGCAGTTGTTGCCTGCTTTCCGCTGGCAGTGATGCTTGGCAAGCTGATTTGGAGACTTCATGCTAAAACAGTGTTGTTTGTCCCTCTCTGATGTTGTGGGAATGTGTAGTACTCATCTCTATTATGTTGCATCCCCTCCCCAGTGTGGTTTGTTGCTCACTCCTCTTGCGGTGCCCCAGCTGCCTGTGTGTCTTTTCTCCTTTCAGCAGCACTGGGTAGCAGTCAGGCAGCGGGATTGCTAACATAGGAAATGTGTTGCAGTTGTAGAGCTTCTGGCTGATATTGTGCAGAACTGCGCACTGGAGGAGTCTCAGATCGAGAAGGAACGTGGTGTCATCCTTCAGGAGTTGAAAGAAATCGACAACGACTTGACCGATGTTACCTTTGATTACCTTCATGCCACTGCTTTCCAGGGGACTGCACTGGCCCGCACTGTTGAGGGGACCACAGAGAACATCAAGTGAGCAACAGGCTGGATGCGGTACACAGCCCGTAGGTTCAGTCCTTGGGGTGCACGACTGCTACGTCTCAGTAGTGGTGACTGCAGGAGGAAACAGTCTGTATACAGAGATGATCTGTGCCCGTGGGCTTCTCATTGTGTCTTGACTGTGTTTTCCCCGTTGGTGCTAGTGAAAGCATAATGCTGCACACATTCTTCTCTAGAATCCCCCTCACACAAGATGTAAGGTTGGTAGGGCCAGGTTAAACCTTCTCCCGTACTTGTCAATTTGACACTGTTAGAGAAATTAAGAGCTAGGGGTGCTCATTAAAGCAGCAGCCTTGAGCATACACACCTGTTAGGGCACTGGTAGCTCAGTGACCAGGCTCAGTACTCTCTAGTCTGTATTGAAGTCTATCCTTAACTCTCCATCTTGGCCACCGTTTTGCATTTTCTGTGTTCTGGAATTAGAGCACAGCGAAAGCACAGACAGCGCAGTCTTGCTTCTAAAAAGTATTGTTACCGTACAACTAAGAGAATCGACAACATCACTGCTGTCTCTGCACTGTGAACTTGCTTCTCCTAAGCTTCTCATCCCTCCAACTCAGAGATGCTGATATACTGGGTCTCTCTGTGTTCTTTCTAGGCATTTGACTCGAGCAGACCTAGCTTCATATGTTGATACTCACTTCAAGGCACCTCGTATGGTCCTGGCAGCTGCTGGAGGTAAGTTCTAGATCCTTGTGACTCTGGGAAGCCTGGCTGTTTTCAAGCTGGTGATCAAACCCCTGTCACACATCTCTAATGTAAAATCATATGATTTTGTTAAATGAAGTTGTTTGAGACTGCAAATCTCTCTCTTTCCCATTGCCAGGTATTTCCCACAAAGAGCTGGTAGATGTAGCTAGGCAACACTTCAGTGGAGTGCCTTTTACATACAAAGATGATGCTGTGCCTATCCTCCCACGCTGTCGCTTCACAGGGAGTGAGGTAAAGTTGTTCTGCTACCAAACAAAACAAGCAGCTGTTGCCAAACTGTTGAATGAATGTGAAACCAGTTATAGCTGCTTCTGAGAGAAAAAACCTGTTCGTATATCGCAGAGAAATTGTGATGCATCATCTTAGTAGTGCCTCTGTGTTCTGTTCTTGGGGCTTATTGCCACAATGTGTTGGGTTTTAGATAGGACCCAAATCTATTAGGAAAGTGAGGCTGTTACATCATCTGCTGGAAAACTCATGTCGGAGCAGCTGGTTCCTGCTCAGTAGTGCCTGAGACTATTTCATTTCACTGGGATAACATCAAGTCCTCCAGTTTGTCAACCTGGCATTGCAGCAGGCTGCAGACAAAGCCACAGTGCTCATGCATGTCTTCCCTGCTCCTTGATGATTTTCTAGATCCGTGCCAGAGATGATGCTCTGCCCGTTGCCCATATTGCTCTTGCTGTGGAGGGGCCAGGATGGGCTGATCCAGATAATGTTGTCCTCAATGTGGCTAATGCTATCATTGGACGCTATGACCGCACGTTTGGAGGTGGCAAGGTAAGAGGCTTGTGAGCGGGAGATCCTGGAGTCTTTTAATATGAAATACTACGGAGACCCTGGGTGAATGTGATTTATGGGAGGCTGTTGTGGTTAGCTTCCAACTGTGAAGTGGTCAGGAGTCTGGAAAGTAGGATAGAAGTGTAATCGAGGCTAATCCAGGACAGTTCTTAAGAGGTGATGCTGGGAGATGAACTGAGCCTTCTCTGCTAAGTTTGGAAGAGGTTTAGCTGATGAATTCTCAGCTACCCTCACAAACTAACCACTCAGTGGGGGCAGTGATGGAAGGAGGACAGAGCAGTCTATAGTCTCATGATGCAAGCTTGTCTTACAACTGCAAAGCAGATGGAACTTGTTTAAAAGCCCAATGTTACATCCATTCTCATCTGAAACCTGTCTGGCCTGCCTAACTGTGCTAACCCCTGCTACTGGGAGACCTTGCACTTCCCATTTTCTCCCACTCCTACAGTGGTATGCATACCAGCTTCTAATCTGCGGTTGGGAAAGGAAATGGTTTTGCTGGATGGACTCTTAGGCTATTGTCTGTGGCGTTTCCACCAGTGAATCTCATCTGTTGACCACATGAAGGGCCTAAATTAAGCTCTCCTTCAGCAAAGTGTTCCACTCTGTCTTGTCTGTGGTCTTTGTGAAAATAGCTCAGTTGGAAAGAATTTGAGCTGTGAGGAAGCTGTAAGACTGAAATGGCTGATGGTATATCTCCTTATTTACAGAATCAGTCCAGCAGGCTGGCTACGCTTGCTGTGGAGCATAATCTCTGCCACAGTTTCCAGACGTTCAACACCTCTTACTCTGATACCGGCCTCTTCGGTTTCCATTTTGTTTCTGATCCTCTGTCCATAGATGATATGCTGTATTGTGCTCAGGGGGAGTGGTAAGTACAACTTCGGCAAAAGTTCCTGTTTAAGATCTGACCCTCTTGTGGGAGACTGAGCTGGTGGGCAGTGTATTGGGTCTTCAGAGAGCTGTGTCTCTGTGTGAATTCTCGGTAACTCGCATTCTGGTTAAGAGATCCTGTAAGTGGTTTCTGTAAATGTCTTAGGATGTGGCTTTTGAGGATCTATTTTAATCCCTTAGGACTCTTCAGGTCTTTTGTTTGTGCTTTCAAGTATTAGCACTGAGGCTTTGTTGTTTTTTTTTTTAATATACAAGTGAGATCATTCTTTAGAGACAAGGCTTTCCCAGGTGCCCAAGAGACATATCTCTGTTGTCTTGTTAAATTTGAGCAAAGCAGGCAGAGCTCCTCCCTGTTGTGTTGTGGCTGTTAAATGCCCTGCTGCTGGAGTCATGACACTGTCTGGAGGCCTTCTGTCTGTCCGTCTTATTGTATACATGTATATCGCAGTAATGGTTCAAGGCTACATCTGAGATTTAGAGCCGAGCCGTGCTGTGTATGGAGCAGATGGAGTTAGCCCTTGCCCTAGAGACACTGCAGTTGGCAGGGGAGGAAGGGATTTAGCAGCTGGAGTCCAGACAGACTCTGTAGAACTGTCTTGTTCTTTCAGCATCAGTTTCCATAGCAGCTTGCCATGCGTGGGAATAGCTGCCATGCCTTCCTTCTCTTGTGATAGCGTACCGCAGACTGCTTGCTGCTGTGCTTGATGGGCAAGCTAGAGCTGGCACTAGGGCTGCTTAGACCTTTGTGGGTGTAACTCGGCGTGTAACCTGCTGGCTGATATCCCCTGCCTGTAAGCTTGAGCTCTTTCTCTCGCCTCCTGCTGTTCAGTGCTCCCCAGTTCTTAGCTGCTCTGCAGTGATCAAGAATGAATCTCAAGCCTGCAAGACAAGTGACGTTGATAATAGCTTATTTCTGCAGAGGCTTGGGAAAGGGAGGAAATCGCTTTCTGTCTGAGCAGACAAACATCTTTAAGAGTTTTGGTGGTCTTTCCATCTCCTCTCCAGGATGCGTCTGTGCACTAGTACCACAGAGTCAGAGGTGAAGAGAGCCAAGAACTATCTCCGAAATGCCATGGTGGCTCAACTGGATGGTATGTTCTGGTTTATGGATTGACCACTGCGCAGCTTTCAGAAGGTTACTGCTTATGTCTCTCCTGGGGAACAAGAGATCTGCTGGGCATTGCAGTACTGCTGGCAGGCACTGGGCAAAACTTCCTTTCCCCTGCTCTGCGTTCCTTCTGCCATGTTGTCAAAGCAGCTGACTCCAGCCTGCTGTGCTCCAGGCTAGCTCTGACTCTGTAAACTTCTAGTCATTCTGTTGCTGAGAGTGAATAACATGCTGCCTGGTGAAGTTAGAACTGAGACCCTCAAACTGCTCTGGCTTGGCTGTAACACTTTGGAGACCGGTGAAGCAATCTTTGTATTGCTTAACTCCTGCCGGAGCTGCTTTTAGAATGGTAACTGTGACTGGTACTTCATTAGAAGCTGGTTTAATGGCTGGAGTTGCTTCTATCTGCTTTGATGATTGGGCTGTGCAATTCTGGAAGGCTTTCTGCTGTGCTGACCATGTGATATCTTCAACATCTAGGTACTACACCAGTGTGTGAGAATATTGGAAGCCATCTCTTAAACTACGGACGCCGTATCCCTCTGGAGGAATGGGATGCCAGGATCGCTGTAGGTATCTGTTTGTTTTGGTTAGGGTACCTGAGCATGATTGGTGTCAGCATTTTCGGGCCTTAGTTTGCTGCAGTAACATGAGACTTGCTTATCCCTTAGTCAAGCCGCCTGGAGTCCAGGCACTCAGCTCACTGACACTGATACAAATATGTCAGAATCTCTGGCATAGACTCACTGTATCCTGTGTCCCTGTGGCTGGATTCAGTCCATCCCAGAAAGAGGGCATACACCTGTTTTAAGCAGCATGACTTGAAATTCCTTTAACAGTTTCCCTAGAGGTGGCCATCCACTGTAATCCGTTGGAAGGCTTCAGATTTTGGACTGCCATGTCTTCTGTACCCTCAGAAAAATGCACTGTGTAGAACATCAGCCTTTGCAGGCAAGAGCTGTACAGTTGGTGGAGATGGCCCCCAAGGGTCTGACCATATCTTTTTAATGGTCTTGATACGTAACGGCAACAGTAACTTCCAACTTTGAGAAATGCAGGTCTGCTAGAATGGTCATTAATTGCTTGTTTGATATTTATTAGGCCGTTGATGCAAGAATGGTGAGAGAGGTCTGCAGTAAATACATTTATGACAAATGCCCAGCAATTGCAGCGGTTGGTAAGTAGTATGCAGCAATTAGTACATGGTAGCTCAAAACACAGGAAAGGGGTCAAGAGCTGAGTGGAAGTGAGCTGCAGGCACCTTTCGTGTGTGTCTTCTGGCTTCCTAACCACTCTGGTTCTTTGCTGGTATCCTCCTACCTCTGCACGTTAGATCTGCCAAGGCACGTTTGCCAGGAGATCAAACCTGCAGGTGATGGAGATGCAGGGGCAGCGAGCTGCTGGCTGTCCTCCCATCTCTACTTGCTGTGGAGCCGTGACTAAGATTGGGAGTCCCGTAGCTGGGTGTGGGCCCAGTGGCGTCTGCCAGGTGTCCTTACCCTGGGGTCATGGTGGTTTATGTAAGGGAAGTGAAGGGACCTGATTCTCTTGTGCTGCTCTGGCATGTCTGTCTGGCCAAGGACAAATCCTCTCAGAAACCTGCCTGAGCAGCTCAGCTCCGCTCTGCTGCCTCCTTCCTGTATGTTGTGGATTCCCCTCCTCCATGCAGCTGTTTCCTCTGGCCTTCAAAGTGGAGCAGCCTGGAAAAGGGAGATGGTTTTTGAACAGGAAATTGGAATGAACTAGCCAAAATGTCCATGACTTGGTGGCTCCCTCTATTTCATACTTCTGTGTGGAGCTGTCCTGTGCATTGTGGAGCAGTGCAAGAAAACAACTTACTCTGAGGATACAAGTAATGGTTTCTCTGTCAGGAGATCATGTCTGCTGGTTTTCCTGATGCAGGTTTGAGCTGTAGCTGCCTGGTTTTGTGTGCAGCTGCTCTGGATTGTGAGCACAGTCTGCCACCATCTGCTTTAAGACCATGGGAAACTGCATGGGAATTTTAACTACATCTCCAGTGACTAACTCTTGTTCTGTTCACTCAGGTCCCATTGAACAGCTCTTGGATTACAACCGTATCCGCAGTGCCATGTACTGGATCCGTTTCTAGGACGTGTCCCTGCAGGTTGGAAATAGTGAAGCTGTGGACTGTGACAGGTTCCCTCTGGCTCTGAATGTCTTGTGCGCCAGGGGCAAGATGAATCCCATCAAAATGGCTGCCTTCTCGATGTTAAATGTATAAAAATAAATATATCCTATATGGAGTTGGTTCTGCTGAGAGTTACCTGTGTCTTGCTGGGTCATGTATGTAGACATAGTTAATCTTGCCAAATTTGTGAGATACTGGACCAATCAGTCTTGATTTGTCAGGGCTCGTGCTAGAATCTTGTCTGTGTGTCTGTCTGCAGCCCAGCCTCCTCTGTCCTGAGCTGGCAGTGTCCTGGTTCAGAGGTCTTGTCTTTAGGCTGGTTGAAGGAAGTCTTTCCACTGGTATGAGGCTGCCAGGGTATCTCTAGCTATTTCCCCTGTGCCCTTCTGTGCAGGCGGCAGCATGGTCAAACTTGGGCTGTAGCATTGCTGCTTGTGCAGACCTAAGAAAAAAGGGCCCTCGCCTGAGGGGACCTTTGTGCTCTCCTGCTCATCAGGGAGATCAAAACGTATCTGTGGAAAATTGGTCGTCTTCCTGTCCCTGGGGTATGGTGTAGTGTTTCTGGCCTGGCTGTTTGTGACCCTCTTGTTGGAGTGACTGCCTCTGCGGTACAGGTAGTTTGTGCAACCCCTCTCTCCATAATCAGTTATAGACAAAACTGGTCGGCTGAGTTCCCACCATCTGTTGAAACTGGTGAAGGTGATCAGCCCAACCTTGCCTGATGCTGCCTCAGTACAATTGAAATGGTTGTCTCTAGCAGAGTCGGGATGGTATGAGGAGCTGGAGCTGTTGCTAGACAAACATCCTGCCAGAGCCTATATGGGGATGTGTTACCTCTCATCTTAAGCTTCATGGTTATCTCAACCAGCTCACTGATGAGCAGAGATTGTTGTGGAGTATGTTGGTGTTGGTCTACACATTCCTTTTGCAGATGAGCCTCCATCTATCTAGTCAGTCTCAGCTATGCAGTAGCTGAGAAGCTGCTGACTGAAGTATAGGGTGACCTAGCCTATACCTGGAAGATAATCTCTAGGTCTGAATAGTTGAAAGAGCTACCCAGCCCTTTCTGCTTTTTCTGGTGTTAATCTGGTTGTTGGTCCCTTGTCTTGCCTCTGGGAAGCTGGAACATGGAACAGAAAGGATGAAACTGAGCAAGGGGGATGGAGAAAAGCTTCCCACCAGGTGGCACTAGCCTGTCACAGCTACCCTTGGAAGCTGCGAGGTACTCCTGTTTAATTTTTGTCTTTGGGATAAATCTCCCTGGGATTCTCATTTAATTTCCAGGTGCTGCCCTGACAAGTGGGATTTAAAAATAGTGTAAAAGTTTCTAGGAGTTAGTCATTACGCTTGAGACTAATCCAGTGTACTAAATCATTTGTGCTGAATCTGGATTCTTGATGAGAGAGTCTGTGTCTGAACTCATTGTGTATACTAGGCAAGTTGGAAACTGTTAAATGTTCTTGATGCAATTTGGGTTTAACTATCGTCGCAAGCTCTGGCTCGTTACAAGTGCACTGAGGGCTGAAAAACTAAACAAGCTTACTTACGCCTCAAGCCTTGTGGAACCAATAAATGATTCCGTCTTGGTTTTGTGACTGCAATCAGACTGTAATCCTCTTTTGTCTTCCATTGCTATATATTTCCCTCCCCAGGTGAGCTTCAAGGGTGTTTTGCAGTTGGTGAGAAATACAAGGAAACGGAGATGTACATCCTTGCTTTAGCATTTCCTACAGGTTTTCTTCTCTGGAGGTATCTGCTTGGGAATGGTTGTTTTCCTTGAGTAATTCCCCAGGCCCTCCTGCACTACTTTGTACTAGGAACAGATTCAAACCCCTCTGCAACTGCTGCTTTCCAAATTGCTCTGTTTCTCTGCAAAAGCAGCAGGCTGGCTGCGCTGAGCAGCTTGCTCCCAGCACTTCAGTGAAGACTAACACCCACTCCCTCCTGACCAAGAGGCTGGAGCTCTGCAAGGGTGGCTGGCTTACACAGCGTTAGAGGGCATTTTGTAGATGCTTTTATGTAGAAATCTGAGTATCTGGGCTGACCTGGACTAGGAACAGTGCCCTGGTGAGTGGCACTGGATGCAGAGCGCTGTTGGGTGCCTGCTAGCAGCTAGGAGTCGAGGCTGAGCTGTGCCCAAGATGTTTGGCATCTTCTGGCTGCAGTTCCAATGGCACTCTGCCTTGTAGTGCCTGTCGTGTTTGGGTGCTGTGGCAGTCCGTGCTTCCAGAAACACGGGCGTCTCACCAGCTCTAAGGATTGAGAGGTTTGCGATATCATTTTTCCATGGTAAACAACAAGCAGCCAGACTGGGGATCTAAAAGGTGGGGAGGGGAAACCCATTCAGGAGTCGAGAGCGTTACTGCTTGGCAAAGGCACCCATACTCTGAGCCTTAGTGAGGGGCTTGGGAAGCGTAACCTGGAATTAGTGCAGAGTCGTCAGGCATTTGGCAGCTAAATCCCTCGGTGCTGGAGGAACTGAAGCTCTAACCTTGTTGGCAGGTCTCTTGCTGTTTGAGCCGGGGTGTGTTTCTGTTCCTCCATTGGAGCAGCCTTAGTCCAAGGGAATCCAAACTGGGAAATGTCTGGCACGATGGAAGTGTCCTACCTCAGTGCTTTTCCTGAACCTTGAAAAAGTGAGATCTTTCTCTGGACTTCTCCGCTCTCCTTCCTGTGGTTTCTGCTGCCCAGTGAAGGACAGTGGCAGTGTCAGAGGAGGGAGTTGGAACCATCCCTAGAACAGGGCAATTTCACTGAAACTGGAGATGGCCTGGGTGACCTAATAAATCTGTTTCCTGGCTCCCTGGACAATGCGAGATTGTTCAGTTGGGCTCTTTGATCAGTCTAGTTTTCAATGGCTTAAGTGTTTTATTTTGCTACTTCACTTGGAAGGTTACTTGGGATCCCATTAGACTGTGCTGATAAATTTAGTCTGGTGTATGAATTGGCCTTTGCTCCCCCCCCTTCTGCACGGTGCTAACTCTCTTATCCTCTCCCGGTAAAGTTCCCTCTTTGAAGCTCGCGCCCTCCGCCTACCTCTAGGCAATTGCTTTCCCTCCCTGACACCTTGGCACTCTGTCTCTTGGCTGGAAGAGAGGATGCTGTGCATCGTTGTGTGCACCCTATGCAAGTGTCTGTAATGCCACCTGCACAGCGCTTCAGTGACGTTTTTCCACCATACAGAGCTATTCCAGGTACGTAAAATCTAGCAGTGAAAATGGGGAAGGCTTGCTAGCGACCTGTGCTGAGTGCTCCAGGTTTCCCTGGTCTCCAGCAGGAAAAGCTGTCGGTACCCCCAGCGTGGGGCTGCGGGGCCGGGGCAGATGCACAGGGTGGATCTGCTTGTGGAGCAGGCAGCCCCTTTGATATGTGAGCTGCTTGTTTGGGATTCGGGCGCTTGCCAAGAGAGGGGCCACAGCAGCCAACTGCCAGTAGTTGCCTCACCTGAACTAATTACCCCCCCGGAAAGTACAGTTGATACTAATCATAGGTGCTGAGCCAAGTCTGTCCTCAGGGAAGCGGGGAGCTGCAGAGAGGCTTTCACAGAAATGAGAGGCTTGGAGCCGTGCCGCTCTTCGGTGCCAGAGAGCTTTTGGGAGGAGAACCTGCAGCCCTCCGGGCCTGCTTCTCTACCCGCTCTCTTGCTGAGGCTGGTGAAAAATGGCAGTGGGAGCAATAGGTGAGCGGGGTTTAGAAGACAGGGCAGGAGAAGTGCAGCTCTGCTGGTGTCTTGTGTTGCTGGAGCCTTGCACTGCTTGGACCCCTCGGTGCAGGGATTGACCGAGGCTTCGGCATGGCCATGACCAGCCAGCCCCTGTATAGTGTGGTTTACTCGGAGGAGGGCTGGGTTCTCCCTGTGATGAAGCGTCACCCAGCAGGGATGCAGGATTGCTAGGGTGAGGGTGGTACCCAATGCTTGGCAGACTCACGGGCTTGCCTTGCCCAGGCCTCCTGTGCTTCACCTTGCCCTTCTGTACCGTGGGGACTTTATACACCAGGAGAGAGGAATGGTGAGCAGCGGTATCCAGGTGCATATCCAGAACTCTCATTTCCTATTTGGAAAAGGAAACGGCTCATCTAAAGGTTTAGGGTATTCACTGCATGGAAAAGCAACAGACAAAGGGCTTTGCTACCCTTTGTGCTGCCACCCCTGTGGCCAGCTACAGCCATCCTGGGCTGCTATGAGGCACGAGGCTGAGCGGGGCACCGCAGCAGGGCTTGTCGTCTTTGTCTCAGCTCTTTCTTGAATGGCGTGTCTGGAACGGGGCGAGTCTGAGCCCTGAACACCCTCACTAAAAGCTGCTTTACCCCACACGCCATCCAAAGAGGATCAGTGGTTCTCACTTTCTCATGCAACTCTTCTTTCCAGCTCTTTCCCCTTACGCATTTTCCTTCCTCAGGGCTCTGAGATTTTTAAGTGGGGCTGCCAGGCTCAGGTTCGGCTTTGCTGCCCATTGAGCCCATTGCTGGGGATGCCCAGAAAAGCTACTAGAAGCATGGTGCCTGGAGGAGGATCTGCCCAGGTTCCTCACCTGCCCAGCTATGGAAAATGGGGCTGCTGACCCAGCACTAGGCTGCCGGGGGTGGCAGCCTGGGGAGGTCCCAGCTCTGGTCTGTGAGACCAGGAGTGATTTTCTTGCACAAAGAGGTGTGGATAGGAGTAGTACCTGTGCTGGATCACCCGCCAAGTCCTCTGGAGACACTGCTCCTGCTCGGTGTCCCACCATCCATCACTGAGCCTCTGCTGCGCTCTGGGATTATTTAAGGCTCTGTACGCTGCCTTGGTGTGAGAACTGCATAGCACGGACAGCATGAGGGCAGCGAAGGAAGCTGGATCGAATGCCATATGACCTGATTTGAGCGAGGCTAATTATGTGATTAAGATATTGAAACAGAAGCCTGAATATCTGAGTACTCCTCCTAGTTTCACCAGGAGCCTGCAGTGGGACACTGAACACTTGGCTTTTCTGGGCGCTGCGTTGCCCTGCTGTCAATGTGGGTACTGACACTCGGTGCAGTACGCAGATAAAGCCGCTCTGTGTGCACTGCCCTCAGCACACGGCGACTCAGATGTGCAAAGTGTTTTGTAAAATAGTCCCAGTACTCTGCACGATTTTCTACTTTGTGTGT